TAAACCCTCAATTTCACTAGTGCTAACTCTATTTTCCGTTCCATTTATATTGATTCTAATGATTCTAAATTTGTGAAAACATAGTTCGATATTTGATATTTAAAGTTTTATCTTGACATAATGTTTGGTTACCAAATATATTAACGTCTCTTAAATGGAACTAACTGAATTATACATTGCATCATAATTTTATCATCTATAATTGTTTTCAGCCTTTTCTTGTTCTATCTGATGTCAGTGGAGGCCGTCGTGCTGAAGTATTTGATATAGACTTTGCCCCTAGTCTCTTTAACACTAGCAAAAGATTGTCTGCTAACGGACATCTTTCTGAAAATTTTCTATCGGATTCATGCCTGAATGAAGACATATCCGAGCCGCCACTTCTTTTAGCGACTGTATGCGAAAGACCTGATGGTGGAACACTTCGAATTTGGCGTATTCCTTTTCCACCTTCTGCCAATTCCGGCATCTTGCCCAAATCTCTTCGCGCAATCAGCAGATTAAGTAAGCTTGATTGTCAAACCCAAGACATTGCACAATTTATTCTATATGAATGCTCGTATATTCCTTTAAAAACTATTTTCTTTTTATTTCTGCACCTAATTACGAAAATATTTTGTGGATCGAGATAAAAATAGAATTTCAACTTGTTGTTTAACTAGTTTATTTCCCAACATTGTTCTTAGTCATATAATACGACTAGGATTGTCAGTAGATCTTGAATACTACATGGGTCGCCTTCCTAAAGGTCGCCCTATGGTCGACTAACACTCGTGATAGTCCGACGTAGTGGCTACATGTCGAATCACCACCCGGGTTCGATTCTCACTGGGGCTGTGAGATCGAAGCTGCAGCCCAATCTGGATCTAAATATTTTTAGAGAAGCAAGTCTAATTCAAAATCAACGGCATCGTGAGGCCCACTCATCTGACAGGGAAAATTCACTGTCAGTCCTTCAACTTAAATGACCCAGGGTTACTAAAGCTCATATTTTTGTTTTAACTGTTATGGACTCATGTGAATGTTATTGCTAGTAAAGTTACATTAATTTGGCACATATTTTAATTTAGGATATACTTTTACCTTTGCTTATTTATTATCCTGCACTGAGTAATGGTAAGTAATTGTTGTAGTTTATTTTGTCATAATTTGACTAGCGTTTTCAAATGAATGAATACCTCTTATCAGCCTAAAACATTACTTATCGTTTATCCCAAATGATACTTTATTTTTACAACTTGTCGACGCACTTTGCTTGATTAGCTTTTTATATCAAATCACAATGTGTTCAATTTTTTCAAGGCATTCACAAGTTAAAAAAGTGAATTTTTATTTTATATAAGATCTAACTCGATAGATTTTAGCTTAATCAAATCTTCTGAAGCATTGTCGTTTTGAAACCGTTGCGTTTAAAATATGCTCAATTTATAGATATAAATTAAGCATTTTTTAACGCAACGCCCTTTATCGATATGCTGCTTTAACACAATGTCTATTTTATGTAATTGTTGTCAGAAGGCCGCCCAGCTACTAAGCGGTCCGTTAAAAACGCGCGGCTCATGCATGCAGATACGCATCACTCAGTTTATTCACATCAGCAACAGAAAAGTAGGCCAGATTACCGTTTACTTGACGATCTTCCATCATCTGGTAGGACATTTGAAGCATCTGAAAGCTCGCTCAACCCCGACGCCTCTGTCCTTCAGGGCGCAGTCATCTTGGAAGAGTCTGTTCCGCATGCAGAAGCATGGGCATCCAAAGAACAGATAAGAATACCTGTTCAAGAAAGCCCAAAGGACTCTCTTAATTCTCCTACAATGAATCGTAAAACGATTGTTAAATCCGTATGTCATTGTATTTATATGAATATTATAGTAAGCGATCATTAACTCCATATTATAGCGTTAGGTCTCATCCATATCTCTTGCATAGTCATATCAAGAAGTAGAATTTGTTTTCGAAACTTGGTCATATTGACAGGAATGCCTAGAAGAACACATCTTGTCCGGAGTCCACAGTATGCATGGTAATTTTCACATTCGGACCGTGGACTTGGTACATTCCCATACGTTTCACCGGCATCGTAGTCGTTATCATCAGTGAGTCTAGCCATTCTTAACACCACACTACAACTCGTCAAAGTACACGGGGAAAATGGAAAGTATCCTATGCGATCGGAGCACTTATCAAATAGTAAGAAAATATCAAACCATGAAGAACGAATGGATAAAGATAATACTTTTAATTCTAGGAAAAGAAACTACAAGCAGACCAGAGAGGAACAATAGAAACTAAGAGAAGACGTCTACAGTGAGCCTGTTCATATCAAGT